TGCAGCAGCTTCATGATGTTGGAAGCTGTGGAGGTGGGTCCAGTGGATCCAGGAAGTTTCTGGATCAGAACTCCAAATGGAACCAATAAAAGAGAAAATTGATTTGAAAAGTTGTTGGCTAAATGTCTGAATTAAAAACAAAGCCAGTAATCGACTGAATTATTAGTTACTAATTTTAATCTTTAATAAAAAATAAAACTCATGCGGTTCTGACCCACAAGTTCAATATAAAGTTCCTTAAAATCAAATCAAGAAAAATAACATTGATTTACATGAATGATGGAAGTAATTCATCTTTAGATAAAACTTTAATAACCAAACAGAAAAATTATTTCCTGTATCGCGACTAGAAAGTTTCACTTGCAGATTTTGCCTCCAGCTGTTTCCTCATTTTGTTTTCAAATTATTTTTCAGCATCTTATTTTATTAGACATAATTAATTTTATTATATAAATATTGAAGTTTTTATCCAGAGTTTTTAGCTAACAGTTTTATTTCTTGGCAATGTTATTGACTTAAATCCCCAATTAGTAATTCTGAATTCCCCTGTAGCAGCAGCGCCCTCTGCTGGCTGGCGTCCAAACAGACGCCTGAAGATGAACGGCAGAGCTGCAGGAGTTTATTCACTTAAACTCTGCTCAGGTTATTATTTTAGATAACTATTAACAGTTTCATGATTTATCAGATAAGTTTTAGCTTTAGAAAAATTAATAAATTTGTGTGTTTAGCATCTCGTTTCTAAGGACTAAATTCCCAGAAAGTCAGGATAACTTTGTGTTTTTTCAGTTTTTTAACTCATAATAATGGAATTTAAACAGAGATGCTGATTTATTGCCATCTTGTGGTTCTGATCTTTATTAAATCCAAGCAAAAAAAAAGATAATTTTGCTGCTTTTGACCTGAAATCATGAGGATCTCTGGAGTCCTCCCTGAATGGAAACTTCCAACCCAACATGGCCGCCTGCTTTCTTTCTCGTTTCTGTCTCATTAAATCCGTCCCACACACCAGCCGAGAATTCAATCAGAACTGAGCCCAGCAGAACCGGGTCGGGTTGGACCCAGTGCCAATGCAGATCCCATTCAATTTAAAATGAAGGCTTTAGCCTGAAACAAGCTAACCTTCAAGCAACCCTGAGGCTCCGCCCACTTCCGGCCGCCGTGGAAGTCCGGCCGCTGCTGAAGCCAGGGACGGTCCGCCTCCTGCTGGACGTTCACTGGTTTCCAGTCTGGAGGTTGCCTGGGCCGGCGTTTCTTGGATCAGGTTCCTGGAGGTTTGAATCAGCCTGCAGACGCATTGGACTGTGATTGGACTGGGCCACTATCTGTTATTGTTATTAAAAAGTTTAATAAAGCTACATTTTTCTAACTGAAACCGTTTTAACCTGCAGCTCAGAGACAAAAGAAACCAGTCTGGAAATGATCAACGTGACCTAAACTAGGATTTTTTCTGAGGTCAGTATGGCTCCTATAAAAAAAAATCCCCCCTGGGGTGTTTTTCCCTTTTTATTGAGTTTATAAATCAGCTGTGATCACCAACATTTGGCTTTTCTGACCAAAGAAAAGAAGCCTTGTTTTGAAGGGTTTGTTGTTAGTCACAGTTAATTGACAGACAATTTAACGACCAAGTAAGCAACATTTTAAATTCTAAACCCGTTTTTTGCTACACGTTTAGCATTGAGATGCAACTTTAGGCTAACATAGCTTTCCTGACAGGCTAACTCCTGTTAGCACAA